GCTTCCCTTTAAACCAAGGCGAGAAGTTAGTGAGAAGGGTCAAAAAACCGCAACCCATGTGGCACGGACTTCATGAGTCAGCCCAGACTTAGACATCTACAACGGTTGCTTGCCTCCGCAAGCGAAGCTTTGCCGCCAAATTGGTGATGCCTGACAGGATCCTATAATCTTCAGGCACTGAGGTAGTGAAATCCAGATATTCACCAACCAGCCAACCAACTCAACTGAGGAACCCACATCAAGCCAAGTGAACCCGAGAGGACCCACATGCCAAGCGAACAATTCGAGAGAGGGAAATCGTCCATGGGAGGTACGTGGACGAAGCTGAAGAGGCCGTCTTGGCCATCTTGAGCCGGGAGGCGCGTTTGGATGTAGCCTCTTGAGAAACCAAGGGGAAACACTCTCCAGCTGGGGGGATCTGATTTTGAGAACTTCCCATGGCCCTTTGGTTCTGCGCCTGGGCGGATCTTTTGCGCCTGGGCGTGGATTTTTTTGGTTTGAGCCGTGAGAATGTCCGATGGCCCGTTTCTGCCCCTTGGGCCGTGACTTGCACCGCCTGGGCAGTTTTTTGTTTGAGCCGTTTGGGGTGATGGGTCAAGTGTTGCGTCACGACCCATGGCGTTCAGACGGATTACTTGGCCGTGAAGCCGGCGAGGTCGCTTCACCTGTTCCAAAGAAATTATGTTTCTCAGAGATTTTGGGTTTCACACCTCACGGGTTCCTCCAGGTCTTCCAGAACCTGGTCGTGCGGAGCGTGATGAGAGAGCGCAGTCGTAGGGAGGTGCGAGCGCTCGCGAGCTTGCCATCGTTGGAGGGAGAATTTGGAGTCTAGAGGTAGAATTAAGAGGAGTTAGAGGGTAGCGTCAAGGGCTAGAGCTAGAGGTTAGGCGGAGTCGTGTCAAAAGTCTTCGAGGTTAGAGATATACAGGTTACAGGAGTTGGAGGTAGAGTTGGATGTTAGAGATTAGACGTCAGGGTTAGCGAAGTTAGAGGTTAGAGGTTGGAGTGAGAGAGTAGAGTTGGAGGTTAGAGTTAGAGGTTAATCGTGTTAAAATCTGCCGGAGCCAGCTCCCCCCCTCCCCCTCCTCAGACTCCCTGAGAGTTTTCAGAGGATGGCATGGCTTTGGCACAGGGGCCGCCGGATATTGGAGTGTTGGAGCTTGTCATTCCAGCTGTTCCTATAAACTTTCTCTGAACGACTGCAGGTGGCTTTGTGTTTCTGGTGTAAGACTTGCTTTTTGATATTTGGCGGCTGGCTGAAGGATACAAGTGCAAACTGTTGAACATGCGGATTATTGTATCTTCGGGTTTTCTTCGTTTCATTTTTTTGTGGCATTCCCTGTTCAACGGCATCCTGAGCGGCGTTCCAGCAGCCTTTTCTTACACCTACAGTATGATTCCCCTAACATTGATCCCTGAACATTATCCTGGCTGAACACGGCGCGTTTGTGTAAACAAAATGCTGAAGAAACTATGTCCGCAACCACGGCTCGAGCCACTTTTATGTTTGCCACACTGATTGGTACAGATATGAACCATGACCACCATGACAGCAACACAAATCGCGCTTCAGGAGGTTTAGTCACAGATCTCACTATTCACGCCAAAACCTCAAACATGAGTGAAACGGGCAAGTCGCTCCAAAAAGAGGGTTTCAAGAAGCCTCGGAAGGATCAGGACAAGGGAAGATTGCTTTGGTTTCCTTTGCTTTCCTTTGCTTTCCTTCGCTTTCCTTTGCTTTCCTATTCCTTCCTTTGGTTTCCAACCCGGCCAGTTTTGGAAACCCAAAGTAAGCCAGGACTGCCTGCGGCGCTCCGCGATGCTGGAGACTTTGAGCGACGAGCAGATCGCCCAGCTCGCCGATGCGCCCGGAGCCTCGGATGCGACGGACGCGGCTGCGGACGCGGCCGGGGGCATTGGCCAGCCATCCGCGACGTGGGTGTGGCTCGAAGAGTCAGGGTGAACCGCAGGTTTTGGTCTTTGCTTCCATTGCAGGGGGCCATTTTGGGGATTCCAGTCTTTTGAGCCACAGCCAGGGGCAGATGTTCCTTTCGTAGCCCTCTGGGATGCCGGGGGAAAAGACACAAAAAAGTCACTCGTGTTCTTTGGTGCAAACTGGAAACTGCTTAGATCCCATACGGGTTTTCGAGGACCGTCACCCTTGGGCCTTTCCAGGTAGTCGAGTCACAAACGCCCGAACTGAACTCCCGGTGCAAAGCTGTCGACGGTGAATCACTTCCGACGTGAGCTCCGTGCAAGATGTGGGCCTCAGGGCATCCGAAATAGGCTACTCGGTGACCTGGGGGCGAATAGGTAAAGGTCCTAATCCGTACCAGTGCGCACAGAAGTCAGCGCGACATGAGCAGGATATCATAGACACTCCATGGCAATGCTACATTTAACTTAAACCCACAAATGACCCAGATGGTAGCAGAGGCCCCTGGCATGATTGTGGGAAGGCTGTTGTGAAATTATTGAAGCAACAGAGCGCCTCTTTTTG